ATCTCTCTTACTTTTCTTACTCTCTTACGTTGGTCTTTCTCCAAAGGATTGAACCCCAGCAACAGCCATCTAATTCCATAGTCCTTATAATTACCATTTCCCAACTCAATTTCAAATGCTGGACACCAATGTATTCTCCGGCTCTAGTTACACCCTCCCAGTTCACCACTGGTGAAGTTTGAATACTTGCTCCACTAGGAGAAGTAAAGACCTCCCCTGCTCCACCTCCCCCAGTGCTGGGGTCCTCTTGGTCAGCCAGCCCAGTCATCCAGTTCCAAATTTGCATTTAGAGTTTGCTTTCTTACCACTCCCTGATGGACACCTATAGGTCAGTTACAGTGGGAAGTGACCCTGAAATGGACATGAGAATGTGGAAGCATATTGTGGAGTGCTGTCAGGATCAACATGACTGTGGGAGTGACAGCAGGACTGGGAAAGGGAGCTGGTGCCCTACAATGCAGGCACAACACAGACTCGTGATCTCACAGAGCTGTGGATCCAGGGTGGTCTTTCAGAGCTGTTTTCAATGGAGGGGAGAGGGCTGAGGCTCTGCACTCCAGTTCAGCCAGTACTCTGATGCGAGCTGCCATCCAGAAGGAGGTGCAAACTTGAACAACACAGCTCTCTTCACCTGACAGAAAGTCCCAGAGAGCTGCTCAATGAGAACTGTCATCCTCCAGGTACCCCAGAGCAAAAGAGGGTGAGGTCTCTTCTCCTTCCTTAAGGATAAATTCATCTATAAAAAACTATTTTAATATATTTATTTAGTTAGTTTTAAAAGCAAATATGGCACACTGTAAAAATGCAAAGAACCCAACTGTACTTCCTCAGATACAATTTTCTGAGACTAACAGAAAGATTTCAGCATACACTCGCCCTGGAGTCAAGGTGGGCCAGATGCTGTTTGAAGCCCCTCCAAGCATGAGACCTCATTTCCTAGACTCAAAAGGCTGTTCTCCAGACAGCAGGTCTCATAGGGTCCGGCCACCCTGAGGGCTACCTCAGCTCCTGAGAACATGGCATCATCCAGCCTCACCCCTGCTATGAATGAGGGCAGCCTTGCATCTCTCTCGCCCGCCGTGAAACCTGTCCTCACTCCACTTGCATGCTGTGTGGACATTCATTCCTACGACCCTGAGAGTTTGGACTTGGTCAAAAAGGCACGGTCTCTGGTCATTCTACAGACAACAATGATGGATTTCCCTATGATTGAACCCCACTAATTTTGTGACCCTCCCTAAAGTCTCTGTTCCTCAGTTTTCTCATCAGAATGAGGATAATAATACCTGCTCCATAGAGGTATGAGGATCAAGTAAGTAAACCAGGAGACACACTTACAGGTCACTGAGTACCCATTGTCCACCCTTCCCTCCAGGAGGACAATCCAGGCAGCCTGAGAGTAGGAAGAGTGAGAATGAGGAACATCTTAACCCTAATTTCTGCCTCAAGGTTGAGCACAGGGCAGGATGCAGATTCAAAAGCTTGAGAATGTTGATGGCCCAGGTAGCCTCCGATGGAGTAAGTGGAGGCTCCTGTGTGGCCCCTCCAATGGCTCCTCCTGTCCCTTGATTTTCAGGTGAAGAGCTGTCTACTCTACCTCTGGTAGTCCTCGTCCTAAGCACAAAGCTGCTGCTGGCCATCGGTGTCTCTGCCATCTACGTCCACAGGAAGTGGAGGGCCTGACTGTAAGTTGTGGGGCAGGGAGGGCAGGACAAGGTCTGTCCCGTAAAGGGGAAGGTCAGTAAAAGGGACCATCCCAAGGTCACACCAGGTCAGGGCCCATGTGGTGTTAAGAGAAGGTGACACACCTCCCTCAATATGTTCAGGAGTATTGTGAATCCCTCTCAGAGGTTCTCCATCCCAGGAACTGTGTGGGGTCCTGTAGGAGGAGGGCTGGATCAAGGGTTTTCAAAGGGTGTGCACAGAGTCCTATGGGTTCTTTGGAGGAAGTGGGCAGAGGGAGGCTGATTGAGGGTCAGCTGAGTGGGTCGTTCCCTTGGAGACCATCTCTAGATTATTTGAACTCTCAGGCTCCATAGGGCTATAGGAACCCACATTTTAGAGTAATGCTGAGAAGTCCTTGATGCTGCTCTGAGGGCTGTACCTGCTCTGACCCTCTGAGTGACAGAGTGGAAGAGATGGAGAGGGGATCAAGACTTGGGGAGGAAGGCTGAGGTGGCAGAGTCCTATCACAGGATCAACCTGTCATCTCACGACAGTCCTTTCAGGAGGAGAGCAGCACCGGGGACATAGGAGGCACAGAGGGAACATTTCTGTAATGATGAGCAGATAATTAAATGTGGATATGTTTCCCACAACTCCTTCCTTCCTTCCCTGTTGTGTGCCACCCCCAATCTCTGCTGCTCCATTCATTCTGTGAGGGGCCCAGCCTCAGAGAAGGATTCTACCAGAAGCTTCCATGACTCTGCTCCAAATGCCTCCCCTCCCCAGACACCTGGCTGCTCACACATTCCTGCTGCTCCTTCTCCCAGTCCTTGATGCCCCCAGAGCTGGGTCTTCATACATGGTCCTGAGCAGGGGACATGGGACCTAGCTCTGGGGACTGACTCCTGACATCTCCCTAGAATGTGAGAAACAAATCAAATCTACACACATTAGGATATTTCTCATCGATTGCCTTGGGACTTGGCCATGAAGTACACACTCATCTTCATGCATCAAGACAGAATAACTGTCTTCTGGATTCCTGTCTACCCCCAAATCCCCAGCCTGGTTGAGTTGCTCTATTGACTCTTGAGTACAAATGAACTCCTATTCTTATTTTAAGAAGAAAAATTGTTCTCCTTCCTCTTTGCCTAAATGTCCTGCTCCTCAAACCCAGAAAGAAGTTTCTCGTAATCTCCCTGTCATGAAAACACTAGTTCTTCTATTATCTTGCATCCTTCTCAATCCTGTTGCTCGTGGTACACATGCTGTCAGCCCAAAAGCCTTGGGTCAACTTTGATTTCTCTTTCTCTTATGTCCCATATTAAGTTCTGCCTTCAACATGCTTATGTCCAATGGTGAGAAGGCAAATGTTTAACAATTGATTCTCAAACAGAAAAATAACAAAGCCTAAGTTGTAGTGCCTGCCAATATTTGTGGTGTAAACACTCCCAACGTGGCCAATGTTAAGCTACCAACAGTTTAACAGCCAGCTTGCAAAATTCCTGAAAATGTAGCAGTCGGCTCTCGCGAGCCTGTCCAAGTGTTTCCTGCACAGCACTGAGTTATATCCATAATCTGCACACTACTCACCCCCACCACTACTCCCTGGTCCAAGCCACCATCATCTCTTCCTGGACCATTGCTAGAGTCTCTAACTGGCTTTCCTGTTTCAACCACAGTCGTTCTTTGGAAACGGAAGTCAAATCCTATCACTCCTCTGCTTCTTCCCACAACATATCTGCATAGTTCACTCTCTCCCTTCTTTCAAGTCTCTGTTCAAATGTCACTCTACAAAGGCACCTTCCATAAACCACCCTACATAGAATATACCTCTCTCACCTGGCATTCCACCTCCTCTTGACCAGATAATTTGTTTCCTCAGCACTTATTGTCACCCGACATACTAAATATAGGAAGTGCTCACTTTGAATGGTAGTGCAGGAGTGTAATAGTGAGTGTGCAAACTGAAACCATGGAAGGTGATCTCAATAATCAATGAGATTAATAATGATTGTTCTGTGACTTTTAAAATTTTTTTCAAAATGTTGGGAACTGTCAGGTTTTTTTTTGCATGTGTGAGGAGATCAGCCCTGTGGTAACATCTGCCAATCCTCTTCTTTTTTTTGCTGAGGAAGACGGGCCCTGGGCTAACATCTGTGCCCATCTTCCTCCACTTTATACGGGACGCAGCCACAGAATGGCTTGCCAGGCGGTGCATCGGTGAGCACCTGGGATCTGAACCTGCGAACCCTGGGCCGCCGCAGTGGAGTGCGCACACGTAACTGCTTGTGCCAACAGGCCAACTCCTGTCAGTTTTAAATGTAGAGGAAAAAGAGAAATAGAAAAACTAATATTTACTTAGTACACTGTCATTTGAAGATTAGAAACATTGAGAATTAAAGCGTCTTATTTCTTAGTAAACACTTATCAAGGGCAGTTTGAATAGTGTTTGCCGTCTTCTTATTGCGTAATTTATGACACAGATCAAGCATCTTTTCTATGTCTTGGTGAATCATCATACTCCTTTCTAAATTTCGAACAGCTTCCAACATTTATATTCCTTGTGCTCTGAATGTTGTGAAATCTTAACAAAACTTCATTTAATTTGAAGTGTTTGCCGGTGTCACTGCCTCTGGGACATTTTCACCCTTTTCCTCACCACCACTTTCCTCACTTATGTGGTAGGTTTGCCATCACTCAGTTCCTCTAGCTGCACATCTGGAATATTTCTAACAGCACCAGTGTCAACATCCCCACTCAGCTGTTTCTTCTATGACTCCACTTACATTCTGTTTGAATTTTACTTCCAGCTTTATCACTTTTCGTTTCTCCATTGCACTTTCATCTCTGTTGCCCATTCCCTTTTGCAATAACTCATTTTTGTAAAATGTCATGTGGGTTCATCACTGGGAAATAATGAGACAACACAACTACATGCTTTGCTGTCTGTGCATAAACTGAGTAACAAAGTCACAGTGATCAATCACTTCAGACTTTGAAAGAAGTCACGTGATTGGTTACTGATCATACTGAGTATCTGTTAGTTACACAGTGATTTGTGGACTGAAGCAGAGCTAGCAGCAAAGTTTGTACTTATGCAATTGCTCACAGTAAATTTACTGTGGTCACTGGAATTTGAACCATGTGATTGGGACTGGTGTGCTGTGGTAACTGAAATTCATGCATATCAGCACCAGGCAAAGTGAACCCTGCCTGTGTTGTGTGTCTCTTCCTCAAATAGAATATCGGTTCTAACAGAGAAGGGACTATCTACATCCTCAGATGTCAGAACAGTGACTGCCCTCTTACTAGATCATCACATTTTTAAAAAAATAAATGAATGAATACTTCATTGAGGATATTAGTTTCTACTAGATGTTGGGTTTCAAAATAAAGTTCCTCTTCATTTAACTATCTTATTTTTCTCTTCTGAAGCCCTTTTGTTAAAGACTACTCTCCCTTCTTTGTGTTTAAAAAGTCCCGTCAAAAATTCAACATCATCTTGGGGGCGGCCTGGTGGCATAGTGGTTAAGTTCAGGTGCTCCATTTTGGCAGCCTGGGGTTCACAGATTCAGATCCTAGGCATGGACCTATGCACTGCTTATCAAGCCATGCTGTGGCAAGCGTCCCACATATAAAGTAGAGGAAGAGGGCACGGATGTTAGCTCCAGGCTAATCTTCCTCAGCAAAAAGAGGAATTTTGGCATCAGATGTTAGCTCAGGGCTAATCTTCCTCACCAAAAAAAATAAATAAACAAAAAATATTCAACATCATCTAAAAAATAGGGAAGTACCAGAAAAAAAGAAACCACCTTGATGGAAGTACATCAAAGTGGTGCAGCAACAAATAAAAGAGCTCTCGAAGGCCAAAGATGGAACAATTTGAGAAAGAAAATAAAATTGGATTATGCAACAGTCTGAATGTTTCTGTCACCCTGAAATTCATGTTAGAATCCTAAAGCCCAATGTGATCATGTCAGAAGGTAAGGCTTTTGGAAGGTGGTTAGATCATGAGGGCTCCATCCTCATCAATGGGATTAGTGCTCTTACAAAAGAAACTCCACAGAGATTCCTAGCCCCTTCCACCTTGTGAGGACACCATGAGAAATCTGTGAGCAGAGGAGGGCCCTCACCCATCCGTGCTGGCATCTTGATTTTGGACTTCTAGCCTCCAGCACTGAGAGATATAAATTTCTACTGTTTAGAGCATTTTGTTATAGCATCCCAGCACAAACAAAATATGGATAAACTATGGACTTTGGTTAATAATAATGTGCCAATATAGGTTCATTATTTGAAATAAATGTACCACACTAATATAAGATGTTAATAGTAGGGGAAACTGTGTGCAGCAGTACATGGAACTCTCTGTATTGTCATCTCACTTTTTCTAAATCTAAATCTAATATTGCTAAACCTAAATCTAAAATTCCTAAAAAGAATAAATGTATTAAAAAAGCCAACATCTTCTCCTCAGCTGGATCTCTGCTTCTTGCACCCTCTAGGGGAACAACACAAGGAACGTGTGGTGGGGAGACTTCTATGTTAATATACCCAAGTTTCATCTCACTTGCCAGGTCTGAGTTTCCTTCTCTTCCGTGTGGTGGGGAGACTTCTATGTTAATATACCCAAGTTTCATCTCACTTGCCAGGTCTGAGTTTCCTTCTCTTCCTTCCTCTGTCCTCTGCCAGTGAACACCCCAGACCCGGGCACTCAGAGATCACAGAGGAAGCTGCTTCTCAGTCCCCAATGATATTCGTCTTAAACTTCTCCAATTAGTAAAGTTCAGGTCAGTCCAAGTGAGGTCAAAGAACTTTGGATAGTTGGGTGAGATGAAGTAGCTTTGAGGATCTAATGGTGGGGGAGTTAATACCTGTCCTGAGTCCAAGGATTCCCAAGTGCAAGAAGTTCTGAAGAGGCTGGTGGATGCTGTGATGCACCAGGCTGGAGAAGATGACCCTCAGCTATCAGACCTCTTTTGAATTAACTCAGCTGAGGAGAGCCTGCTTGCCCAGGGTCATGCCGGATAACATGCCACATCCAGTGATTCATCTACATGGTGATATAAAGGCACAGTCCTCTCACTCCAGGTCAGGACATTCTGAAGGAACCTTCTAGCACCAGAACTCCATGGGAGGTCAGCTGAGATCTTCATTGAGACTTCATTGCAGCTCAACTTCTCCTTCTACCCTATCCTGCTTCCTTCCCCTCCTTCCACAGATGTTCATCTTAAATGTACTCGCTGAAAAATGATTTGCTTGTTAGGCTTCACCTCAGAGTCTGTTTCCCAGGGAATCCAACCTTGGACAAAGAGGCTGTGTTGAGTACTGGAAGAAGTGGATATCCCTTGGTTTCTAGGGGCCAAGCAGTCAGGGAAGGATGGATTGTTCACACTACCATATGTCATAGACCATATAGTCTTACTATAATAAGACAGATGAGAATCCACAAGTGTTTATGTAAGAAAGGAGTATAATCAGACCTATGTTGTCAAAGACCCCTCTGGGTGAAGTAGGAGGTAGAGATTACCGGAGACAAGAGAACATGGAAGTAGTATAGTTAAGAGGCAATTGTTTTCATTCAGGCAAGTGATGATGATGGAGATGGAGAAATAGATTCAAGAGGTATTATGGAGGTAAACCCAACAGGGTCTGGTAGGAGATAGATATGGGTGGATGAGTGAGGGTGTAGAACATGGGTCCCTTCTTGGTTTCACCCCATGGGCAGAGGATGTGCCACATACTGAATAGGGTGGGGTGGGAGAAGAGAATGTTTGAGTGCAGATTATGAACTCAGTTTTGAATATTTGAAGCATACAAATGAATATTTCAAGGTCAAAGAATATATAGGTCTGCATGATAGGCTCAAGGTTACTAAGCTACCAGGGAATGGATTTAAGATTTGAACCTAGATTGTATCTTGACATCCAGTTGGTCTCTGAGGAGGAGGCAGAGGTCGCAAGGATGCAATGGGGGAATGGCTATAGCAGTCAGTGCCAGGCTCTGGAGGCTTGGACATTAGAGTCACTAGCTGAGTGTGGGCTGAAGTCCTTTACATAACATTTGTGCTTGGCTACAGTCCATTGCAGTGGTGAAATAGAAGGAGGTAAACATGCTGGTTCCTCTCTCTTTCTGAGAGTGTTTCTTCTGCCCCTCCACTCTCTTCTTCTAAAGCTGGCCCCTGACCCAGCACAGAGAAGAGAGGCAGTCCTTATTTAACCAGGTGTATTTCCAGGTATGTTGCTTTCCCTCTTGGAGAGAGTTCTCCAAGGCTCACCTTTCCTGTATGCCCCTCTATCCTCTAAAGCACAAAACATCACCATCTCCAAAACTCTAACCTCTTTCCCAGGCAAACACAATTCCTCTGCAGGAAGGAGAAGGAGGCAGCTTCCAGTATTGTACGCAGGCATCCATAGCACAGGCAGGAGCCCATATCAGACATTGCTTTAGGGCTCATTTTTTATCTCTAACACCCCTAGAGTGGGGGTAAGTGTCTCTTGTAAAGTTCAACTCTGTTTCCAAGAGGGTGAGGCCATAGAGATCCAGCCTCCTTCCTGCAGCTGTGCAGCTCAGTGAGGCCCACATGTTGGGTTCATGGAGTAGCTGGACCACATATGCCCATCATGTGGTTCCAGAAGCCCCTGGCCGAGACGTGTCGCTGGGGCTCCTAGATAGGCAAGGACTATGGGGTTGGGGAGAGCCTCAGAAGGAAGGAGGCTTGAAAATAAACACAAATCTGCAGAAGTTCTGTCTCTCCACTCTGGAACCCCGGACATTTCCAGCAGCAATGTCTGAGCCTGTAGCAACCTTGTCTCTCCAATTTATAATTTAAAAACATAGCAGAGTCCCACCATCATCCCTCGCATCTCAGTCCCCTTCCTCTGATATCAGGGAGGCAGGAACTATGCTCTCTCCTCAGAGCACAGAGTCCTGGGCCTCTCCAGAAGCACATTCTGACACAGCAGACTCCAAGGGCCAGGATGCCTGTCCCTGTCTCCTCACCCTGCGCACCTCTGCCATCCCTGCTGCTGCCTATGCTGCTGGGACTCACAGGTGAGTGGGACCTCAGGTGTGTGTGGTGAGGACTCCCTCTGCTTGTTTACTGTGTTCTCCCCACCTGTTCCTCCAGAATTTCTTTTGGGAGTGTTTTCTCTGTCCCCATTCCAGAACAGGTGGGATTTAGATAACTAGACTGGGATGGCCCCCAGTTCACAAAATCTCCCAGTGGCCGTGTCTGGTCCACACCCTTTGTGCAGGTAAGGGACTCACCCCATGGTCACAGGACTGAGCACAGCACACATCACAGCTCTCATCCCCCAGCCCCTGGGAACTGAGGATCTGTCTTTTAAATTTATTGCCACCACACAAATGCTACCTGCTCAATGGAGAAAAATATGTTGGAAAACAGGAAATTGTAAACCAAGAAAAGAATCCACAATGCCTCCTTCCAGAGATAATCACTGTTAAAATTTGCTGAGGTTTGAGTGCTCATGGAACATTGGCCAGAAGTGGTCACTGGAGGTCTCTTTGGGTCAGTGATGGATGTTGAGCCCCGCAGACTCCCCACTGAACTGCACGCTTCTGCCTCTACTTGGTGAAGAGCTGAGCAGGCATGTGGAGCCCACTCCCCTAGGCCATTGGTCCTTTAGCAGAGGCTTTGAGTCCCAATTGCCACAGAAGATGGCTTGAAGGTGTCAGACCAGATGAAAGAGGAAGGAGGGCCATTATCTGAGAAGGAGGAAGGAGGAGCAAGACGTGGAAGTTTGAGGAGAAAATAAAATATACGACACATCCAGGCCCACTGGAGAATTTTAGCAAAAATTTAAAGAAGAATTAACAGCAAATTATACATTCTCTTCCAGAAAATGAAGAGGAGTGGAAACCTCCCTACTCATTTTATGAGGCCAGTATTACCTGGATAGCAAAACCAGATGAAGACTGTTTCAAAAACGAAATAAATCAAAACTACAGACCAATATCTGTCATGAGCTTAGACACAAAAATCTTCAACAAAATATCAGCAAATAGAATTTAACAATGTGTAAAGCTATATACCAAGTCATATTTATTCCAAGCATGCAAAGCTGCTTCTGAAAATCAATCACTGTAATCTGTCACATCCACAGTTTAAAGAAGAAAAATTGCACGATATGTCAATTGATGCAAAATAGTCATTTGACAAAACGCAACACTCACTCATGATGAAAACTCTCAGCAAACTAGAAATAGTGGGGAATTTCCTAAATTTGATAAAGAAAATCTACAGAAAAACCTACAGCTATCATTACAATTAATGGTGAAAGACTGGAGGTTTTCTCCCTAAGACAAGGAAATAGGCAAGGACGTCCTTTCTCAACCCCTATTCAAAATAGTCCTGGAAGTTGTAGGAGAGAGAAAGAGAAAGAGAAAGAGAGAGGAAGTAGGGAAGGAAGGAAGGAAAGGATATAAGGAAGGAAGGAAGATAGGAAGAAATGGAAAGAAGGAAGGATTGGAGAGAAGGAGGGAGGAAGGAAGACAAGTGTGGGAATTAATAAAGGAACTTAACTAAATAGGAGTAGGGAAGGCCTGTAGGGGGAGCTCTCATGCCCTATCATACATCATCCATTACTCCAAACAGGAAGAGATTTACCTTTGTACTTTCCACAGGAAGCAAAACTACTTGCCTACTGGAGGAAGATTTCTCTCCCACCCAGCAACACCCCAGCCAGTGACAAACACCACAGCTCACCCAATGACAAGCCGTTTACACCATGAACTGCTGAAGCCAAGGATGAAGGAGTTAAAGTTTCCCTGGATTAGGATGAAACTGTGCCTGTACCCACAAGGTTAACGTGGGAAACAAAGTAACCAAAGTTTCTGAGCTTGCCTTGCAGAACAGCAGGCGGACTGCTGATAAAGAGAGTAGCTTGCTGACAGCCCTTGACCTGACTAAGCATCTCACAGGAGCATTGAGCAGTTGTCCCTGTGCAGAAGACTCTTCTAACTTCAGCTCCCAAGGCCACATGCTCCATTTCCCCATCTTATTCACACGATGTGCTTCAGAAAAAAGCTTAGAACTGCACATAGGCAAGCTATTCTGTGACTGGTAGAAAGAATAACTTGTCCTCCACCCAAACTGCTCCTTCTGTCCCAAATAAAGAAGTAACTGAGGTTTTCTTAGATTCCTCAGTAATGTTGCATTCAGCAAATCTGCTATGGAGAAGCACCCAATGTTCTACAGTCATCCATCACCTGAAATTTCTGACCCTTCCTCCCCAAATCCGTTTGCCTATATAAATCATTCCCAAATCAGTTCCCCTTTAAGATGGGCTTTTTGAGGATGATAGTCCAGCATCTTCTGATATGTTATCTATCACTTATTAAAATTCTTTCTCTATCACCACCTGCTTGGCCTTTTAACTTGAAGCAAGCAGATCGAGCCCTTGTTCAGTATCAACTTGACGACCCAGATTGGATGATATAGTTCTGCCTATGGCTAGCCAATCCCAGATGGAAAATCTCTTGGGTAAGTCCCTAGCAGCTGCCAAGGCCCTTTTGTCTCAGAGATTTGTCCCTTTTGATTTCCCGTACCAATGCTGGCTGCCTCTAAATACCATCTGTGGTGGGAAAGAGAAACAACTATGTGGTGAGTTGAGAATCCCAGTCTGGAGTAGGGTAAGTCACCTCAGGACACCCATGAACTCCCTTCCCATCCATCTGGGGTCCTTCCATTTATGATTGGGCCATCTGGTCTCCCTTCCATTCATGGAAAGGCCATCTGGGGTCCATTCCATTCATGGAGGGGCCATCTGCGGTCCCTTCCATTTGCAGAGGGGCCATCTGGGGTCCTTCCCATTCATGAGGGGCCACCTTGGCACACATTTGGAGTGGGAATAGTCGTAGGACTTTTACCTGGATTCTGGGAACCCGTTCACTGCACTGGTATCTGGTTTTTCTGTGTCTGGATCTGTATGTCTGTCCATCTCTGTGTATTGGAATGGGGAACGTGCCATCTGTCCCAAAGTGGAGCCCATTTGGGCTACTTCTGAGTAGATGGTCTGATTATAGTTATAAGCTATTGTCTAAAAAGGATGATTTTCTTATGTAACACCACAGGGCCACAGTATTCTTTGGACTCCAGAGAGAACAAATGGCCAAACAGTGGATCCTTAAGTTGGAAAAGTTTTAGAGAGCTCTCAACATCAAGAACTGTTTTATTGATACCTATGAAAAAAGAAATACAATGACTAGTCTTAAGAACTTAATCAAACTCAGAGTTTCAGTTTCCATTCATGGTCTTACAGATGCTAATGAAGGCATTGAGTTAACAGAGGAGTGAATGGAAGCTGGGAGAGAAATAAGGGGACTCCTCTCAACCAGGTGGAAAGTTTTACAGGAGTTTTAATAAAATAATAAGGTAAATAAGACAGTCGGGTAAATGATGCAAAGATTTAAAGAGGAAAACAGAGAGGAATCAGAAAGGGAAGAGTCATAGGACTCATCTCAGTAGGATAGAAATCTTCAGCTGGTTATTAAAAAGAAAAAAGGGATATGTGAAACAGACGTGAATGAGGTTAAAACAAAGGTTTTAATAAAACACTGCCTAAGGTTGGATGGGCTAAAGGGACCCTCTACCAGCCCCTCCAGCATTAAAGGACCTCAAACAGGCCCCTTATATTCACCCTAGTTTGAAAAAATTTTTAAAAGCCAGAAAGCAGAAATCGCAATGAGAAACCTGACCAGCAATTGCTTGGGCAACAGTTAGGCTGCTAAGCTTAGTAAAATTATCAAGATTCAAGCGTTTAAACTAATATCATATGAAGAGGTCATGTCAACTTTGCCTGAATGTTTTTTGGAAATGGATGTTATATCTAGCTGGAAATGCTTCCCCTACCAAATATCATAACGCTGACACCTGTTAATGTAATCGTAATAGGAGTTTTGCTTAGAGTTATAAAAGTTGATAAAAATCAAGATAAAACTTTGAAAAAATTTTGTATATTTAATGGGCATTATGTGAAAGGATTGCATCTCTTTTGCCTGATTGTATTATAGATTATGTTATAAACATTGTGTATTACTGGGGAATGTTTCCCCTGCCTGATATTGTAAGACTATATGAATCCACCCTTCAGGCAATGTTAATTAAACATGCTGAAGGAGATCTCACTTTAAAATGGCCATTCTGGGGAACCTCTGTTTCAGACAAGGCAACCT